TTTTTTTTTCTTCTAATACCATTTCGTGTTCGATAACCCACCTTATCAAACAACCAATCATTTCTATGGATTTGAGAAAAATTTACTTTTGACATTAGAATTATCTTATCATTTCTGCAATGAATTACATTGATTTCTGGTTTCTGGAGGTCCAATGAACAATTCAGTCTCAACATCTGAAACTTCACTATTCTCTACATGCCACAGTTGCTCTCTCTTCATTTGATCCCTGCTGTGGTTCAGTCCAAACTAAATCATCAAAACCTCAAATCAATGCCTGTTGGATTTAAAGAGTTTGGAAAGAACTGAAAATTGCCATGATCATGGCCTTGCAGGACTTCAACAACAATTCAAGGAATCATAGGCCGAATATTTATTTCAGTAACACTAGCAAAGAATTCGTCTGTGAACCTTGGTGATGAATGGAAGTACTATGATTCTGCCGTAGTGTGAACTTGCAAATTTGAAATTGTTCCATCAGCAAGGCTTACCAAATTGGTAAGGTCATCAAACTGTTAATTAATTATTTGTTTAAAAAGGAACCGCCATTGTTAGCAAAGAAACTATAGAGTAGGCAATAATAAAGGAACCACCACAACTATCGACAAAACCACTGCCGGAAACCACCACAGCCACCAAGCCACAACCACAGCCAAAAACCCCCCACCAAACACACCCAACAATGCACCACCCCACAACTTCACCAAATACGGCAGAAGGATTTTGACGGCCTCCTCCACGTCCGTCACCGAAAACAACCCCATCTTCAAATCCTTCAAGAGAAGCAACTTATTTGGATGCAAATTAGTTTTTTCTCACCAAGAATAGGCACCTACGTAGAAGCGGACAGTAGCAGTTTCTGAATCTGCCGGCGATAGACTATCGGAGAGATGGAGGCGGAATATCGGAGAGGCGTTGAGCTGGTAATGGTCAAGTAGGAGAAAAACGGTTTCGGTTTTGGGAGCTTGTGCACCCAGCAGTGCATTACAGTACCATCACCTAGGTCAGTGACAGTCGATCGGAGGACCAAATTGGTAAAGCCGGATTTGAGGCGCCTGCTTATTGATGCAGTTAAGCTGAAGTATTTAGACATAGCAGGCTCTGTGGTCTCCGGTGACGGCGCGAGGAAGGCCGAGAGAGAGAGAGAGAGAGCGAGGAGAGAGAGACGAGATAGAGGGGGTGGGACTGGGAAGAGACGACTGAGAGATAGGATTGAAAATCAGGTTTAGTTAGGGTTTTAATTAACACCTGATTTTTGATAAAATAAACACTACACCTGATTTTTGAATTTGGAAACTTAAATACCTGGTTTTAGGTAATTTTCTCTAATTTAAATTACTATAATAATATATGGAAATCTTTGTTAAAAAGCCCAGTCAAACCATGATTTTGGTTAAAAAAACCCATCTCAATGTTTCTTGGTCAAATGACCTTCAATTATAAAAAACAATAAATAAACAATATCAAATATCCAAAATACTCTCACCATGGAAAATACCCAAACACCCCTTTCAATCCAATTAAATTCTTCAATCCATATCCAGAAAACATCGACATCTCCCTATGGTTGCTACCTAAAATCTTGTTACTTATTATATTCTTCACCTTTCTTCTCCAATATTTTGAGCATTTGAACAAGAATTTTGATTTTCATATTATGTACATTGAAATCTCTACTATATTTGAAGAGAAGAAATGTACTTTTAGAAATCTCATGTGTTTAGCTGGGGTTGTTTTCGTATTTAGCATGTTTTTTTGTGTTGCCTGAATCTATTGAATGATAACAACACTCCAATTGTTAACTAGAATATAGAACGACAGTCCGCCATTATCTGCTACGTAGAACGACAGTCCAGCCGTTATCTGCTACGTAAAACGACACTACTGTTGTTATCTGTTGTAGTTTATTTTTTCAACGAAATGACCTTTAATAATGGACTTCCTAACATATATAACACAGAACGATTGATTTTGTCACAAATAACGATTGAAATGATATAGATTTTAAATTATAAAAATGGTGAAAGCACAGACTTTCTATTCATATGTGTCGATTTGAGTATTTTATCTAAAAAAAAATAGGAAAATAATGTTCAAAAATTAAATATTATTTATTTATATCAATTAATTTCAAAATATATATGGTATCAATTATTTGTATTGTGTTTATATACGTAACGGTACTTGTGTTGTTTTCATAACAATAATTACACTTGTGCTGTTTTCATAACAGTAACGACACTTGTGTTATTCTCACTTTCATGATGATTAAGCAATGAGCGTATCTCTCGAATTTTGTAAGCGACACCTCCGTCTTGCAACATAAGAGTTCAATTTATCGAATACCGAGGCTCGGACGGTTCGTGGCCGCTCATACTCCCATTTATCAACATAACCACACACTTGACCAGTAACGGCACTTGTGTCGTTCTGTTGATTTCTACAATATTTTGCCTCATTTCCATCCCAATGACCTCGAACATTGGACCCCATACCTTAAGAGAATCAGAAATGTTGATTGTGTGACAAATAACGGTGGAATTGACATCGATTATAGATATTGAGTTGGTGAAATCACAAGTCACTATCTACATTCGTTAGAAAAACTTAATTAGTGAGCGTAACTCTCGTATTTTGTAAATGGTACGTCCATCATGCAACTTAAATGGGTTCAATTTATCGAATATCGAGGCTCGAACGGTTCGTGGCCACTCATACTCCCGTTTATAGACAAAACGACACACGTGACCAGTAACGACACTTGTATCGTTCTGTTGATTTCTCCAATATTTTGCCTCATTTCCATCGCAACGACCTCGAGCATTGGATCCCATACCTTAAGAAAATCAGAAATGTTGATCGTGTGACAAATAATGACACTTGTGTCGTTCTGTTGATTTTTTCAAATTTTTGCTACTTTTCAAAATGTTGATTGTGTGACAATTAACGGTGGAATTGATATAAAATATAAGGTATAAAACGGTGAAATCACAAGTCTTGGTTTATATTCGTTTGAAAGTATAAGCAATGAGCATAACTCCTAAATGTTGTAACTGGCATGTCTAATACGTAACTTAAATGAGTTCAAATTATCGATTATCGTGGCTCAGAAGGGTCGCGGCTCTTCAAAATCGTGTTTAAAGGCAGAACGACACTTGTGTCGTTTTGTTGATTTTTCTAGTTTTTTGCTACTTTTCAAGGGAACGACATCAAGGATTGGACCCCCTAATCTAAGAAGGTCGAAAATGTTGATTGTGTGACAACTAATGGTGGAATTGATATAAAATATAAGGTATCAAACGATGAAATCACAAGTCTTGGTCTAAATTCGTTTGAAAGTATAAGTAATGAGCATAACTCCCGAATGTTGTAAGCGGCGTGTCCAATCTGCAACGTAAATGAGTTCAAATTATCGATTATCCTGGCTTGGATGGGTCGCGGCTCATCAAAATCGTGTTTAGAGGTAGAATGACACTTGTGCCGTTAAACGACACTTGTGTCGTTCTGTTGATATTTCCAATTTTTTGACTACTTTCGAAGGGAACGACCTCAAGGATTGGAACCCCTAAGCTAAGAAGGCTGAAAATGTTGATTGTGTGACAACTAACGGTGGAATTGATATAGAATATAAGGTAGCAAACGGTGAAATCACAAGTCTTGGTCTAGATTCTTTTGAAAGTATAAGTAATGAGCATAACTACCGAATGTTGTAAGCGGCGTGTCCAATCCGCAACTTAAATGAGTTCAGATTATCGATTATCGTGGCTCGGACGGGTCGCGGCTCTTCAAAATCGTGTTTAGATGCAGAACGACACTTGTGTCGTTCTGTTGGTATTTCCAATTTTTTTGCTACTTTTCAAGGGAACGACCTCAAGGATTGGAACCCCTAAGCTAAGAAGGCTAAAAATGTTGATTGTGTGACAACTAACGGTGGAATTTATATATAATATAAGGTAGAAAACGGTGAAATCACAAGTCTTGGTCTAGATTCTTTTGAAAGTATAAGTAATGAGCATAACTACCGAATGTTGTAAGCGGCGTGTCCAATCCGCAACTTAAATGAGTTCAGATTATCGATTATCGATTATCGTGGCTCAGATGGGTCGCGGCTCTTCAAAATTGTGTTTAGATGCAGAACGACACTTGTGCCGTTAAACGATACTTGTGTCGTTCTGTTGATATTTCCAATTTTTTTGCTACTTTTCAAGGGAACGACCTCAAGGATTGGAACCCCTAAGCTAAGAAGGCTGAAAATATTGATTGTGTGACAACTAACGGTGGAATTTATATATAATATAAGGTAGAAAACAGTGAAATCACAAGTCTTGGTCTAGATTCTTTTGAAAGTATAAGTAATGAGCATAACTACCGAATGTTGTAAGCGGCGTGTCCAATCCGCAACTTAAATGAGTTCAGATTATCGATTATCGATTATCGTGGCTCAGATGGGTCGCGGCTCTTCAAAATTGTGTTTAGATGCAGAACGACACTTGTGCCGTTAAACGATACTTGTGTCGTTCTGTTGATATTTCCAATTTTTTTGCTACTTTTCAAGGGAACGACCTCAAGGATTGGAACCCCTAAGCTAAGAAGGCTGAAAATATTGATTGTGTAATAACTAACGGTGGAATTGATTGTGTCATTCTCTTTGTTTTTATTGACATACACAGCGACAGTTCTGTCGTTCTAGAGCTGTTCTTAAATCAGTAACGACACAAGTGTTGTTCTCTTTGTTTTTTATTTACATACATAACGACAGTTCTGTCGTTCTAGTAGCTGTTCTCAAATCAGTAATGACACAAGTGTCATTCTCTTTGTTATTTTTATTTACATTCATAATGACACTTGTGTTGTTTTCGTCTTTCTTTTTTATTAAGTAATGATCATATCTATTGAATATTGTGAGCGGCGCATCCATCTTGTAACTTAAATAAGTTTAGGTTATCGATTATCATGGTTTGGAAGGATCGTGGCAATTAATACATGTGTTCACACGCAGAACGACACTTGTGCCGTTTTCTAAACAGTAACGACAGTTGTGTCGTTTTCGTCTTTTTTTATTTTATTAAATAATGACCATATCTATTGAATGTTGTAAGCGACGTGTCCATCCTACAACTTTTATGAGTTCAGTAACGAGGCTTATAATGGGCGCTTATAAGTCAGTAACGACACTTGTGTCGTTCTTGTAGATCTTTAAATTAAGGGCATCAAAATTTTAACTACAGCAACATTTAACTAAATCTACGAATCAAAGTTATACTGTTCAATTTATCGAATACCGAGGCTCGGATGGTTCGTGGCCGCTCATACTCCCGTTTATCAACAGAACCACACACTTGACCGGTAACGGCACTTGTGTCGTTCTGTTGATTTCTCCAATATTTTGCCTCATTTCCATCCCAACGATCTCGAGCATTGGACCCCATACCTTAAGAGAATCAGAAATGTTGATTGTGTGACAAATAACGGTGGAATTGACATCGATTATAGATATTGAGTTGGTGAAATCACAAGTCACTATCTACATTCGTTAGAAAAACATAATTAGTGACCGTAACTCTCGTATTTTGTAAATGGCACATCCATCATGCAAATTAAATGGGTTCAATTTATCGAATATCGAGGCTCGAACGGTTCGTGGCCGTTCATACACCNTTGATTTCTCCAATATTTTGATTTATTTCCAATGCAACGATTTCAAGCACTGGACCCCTAGCGCGTAAGATAGAAAAGTTAATCACGTGATAAAGAACAATTGAAAATTGTCAATAACAAAACATAACGACACTTGCATCATTCTCATTTCCCTATGATAAGTTCAGTAACAACACAAGCTTCGTTCTCATGAACGCTTATATTCTAATAACGTCACATGTGTCGTTATCATGGAACCACAACAGAATGATATGGTCAAACTTTCTATGTTACATACTTATGTTACATACTTTAGGAAGTCCATTAAAATGTTGTTAATTTTCCCCAAGAATGAACCATCCATTAAAATCGAATGTAAGTGAAAATTTCGGAACGACACAAGTGTCGTTACTGGACATAAAAACGACACTTATCCCGTTACATGTCTAAATACGAGTATAAGCAATCACAGCCCATTCGTCCCATGAAAATAATAAATGAAACTTATTTATATTATAACATACAAATGACGTGTACAATGTTGAGATATATGTTCATTAACTTAATCGACACATATGAGTTAGACGACTTGTGCTTTCACTATATCGATAATATAAAAGTTATGTCATTTCAATTATTCTTTGTGGCTAGTCAATCTTTTTGTATTATACATGTTAGTGAGTCCATTATTAGAGGTCATTTCATTGAAAAAATCAAATTACAGCAGATAACGACTGTAGTGTCGTTTTACGTTGCAGATAACGACTGTAGTGTCGTTTTACGTTGCTGATAACGGTCAGAGTGCTATGTAAATGTGATTTTCCAATATACATATGATAACCCTTGTTGTCTGCAAATTTGAATTTGAAATTGGAGTAATTTCTGGATGGAAGTGAGACGGGGCTGGGGATGGTGGAGTCCGATGGTTTGGGTGACCGAAAAGTGGAAGAATGAGCTCCATATGTGGTTGCTGAAAATGGGCAAAAATCGCCGAAATTTGGAGAGGAAATAATTTCAAATTTGAAATGAGCATGAAACTGAGTTGAAGAAGTAGACGTTACTTTGAAATTTAGAAAAAATGGTTGCACAGTGAGATTGAAGAAGAAAGAAGAGGTGAAAATGAGGAAAGTAGGTGAATATTTTACTATTAATTGAAGGATAATATTGTCATTTGACCATTTAAAATATCTTGAATTTTTTCCTTTTCTTTTATTGTTGGTCAAAGGCCATTTCTCCAAATACATTGTCCTACCCGGCTATTTGGCCAAATTTCTCATAATATATTTACCACGCTGAATTAATATAACTAAATAGAGGTTCTGAATCCATTTTTACTTTTTTCAAAGGTTAGGGACTTAACTACTAGTCTTTTTCAAAACTAACACTTAATAAAATTAAAAAGTTAGGAACGATCGTGCTACGAAACAAGAAGTGAGACCATTTCTGCACTAAAGGCAAAGATTACGATCCATTTGCACCAATTTCCTTTCAAAAACCTTTCCTCATAAAAATCCAATCCGATCGAGCCATTACCGAGTTGGGTTGTGGGTTAGCACACATCCTGCCGAACTTGACATTATACTGATTATCACGAGAATTCATACATTTTAAGAGATTTATTAAAATCTGAGTTGAGGATCGAGCTAATTAGATCAAATAATATTCAAGTAAAATAGTAAAAATATAAATTTGGCAAGTACGGCCATCTTCTGCCATCCTAATATGGAATAGACATCTATTACGAAGTTCAGCCGACTGAATATTATTCATTTTGGGAGTAGAATTTTAGGAACTATGGAATAGATGTACCATATCAAAATTCGTTTATTGTCAGGAAAATATGAAGTCTGAACAATAAATAGCACTGCTAGTTTAAAGAGCATATTATTCATTTCTCACACGAAATTCATTTACAATCGTACATGATTATATTACTAGGGTACATAATTGGCTGCACCGGTACAAACAAAAGATGCAACCACTTCAACTTAAAACAACTAATAATACTGAAATTTTAGGATGCCCCGTTGAGAAAATGTGCCAATGCCTTGTCGGTATCATTTTCGTACATGAACAGGGCATCTGCAACACTGTTTGACGAGAATCCCATTTCTCGCAGAAGAGTATAGCCATTCACAAATTCCTTAACCTGAATATAGTGAAAGCAATCACAGTCAGTTGCCTACTCAATGCACGCATATGGAAAATTAGTCAGTTTTTTGTTCTTCTGGTGGAATTCGTTTGTACTCCCTCAAACAATTCAGCAAACACCGTATATGTACACTAATAGCATCTTGAGAGACAAGGTCTCTTACTGAGTACTGCAAACACAATCCAATTTTTACATGCCACCCGCAATACTCTCAAGGTAACAACATGATCACATGACAAGTATACGAAAAGGGATGAATTATACTGGGATCTAATATATGTGAAAATAAAAGAGAATTAAATGAGAGGAAATTACCTTGGCCGGATTGTCTCCATAATTTGCAACAGCAATAGGCACAGCATCTCGATTAAGGCCAGATGCTATATATTTGCTCGCTAGGTGATCAGCACTGGGGTTCTGCATTTAAGCAATTGATGGCATAATCAGATTGAAATTTACCCTGGAGCTAATATACAGCTCTAAGAATTCAAAATCACGGTCATTCCCCGACCGTATTTGTAAACTTCATTAATTTTTTTTCTATTCTTACCAGCTCAAGTGTGTATTACAATTGAACATAAAGACAAAGTATTTTTTAAAAAAAAACTATATAATTTTGTTGCTAAGAGTATCAATTGGTATAAATTAACGACAAAGGAGATCCTGTTGGAGGGATTGATAGTCACGAAATCAATGTATCGAACTTGATTACAAATTGATAGTTGAGAGCCCTGGACTCAATGCAAAAATGTAGAATACTACAATACCTCTTATCCATGGATCATGTCTCAACTGACATTTAAGAAGAAATAAATATAGCTCATGTTTGGTGGGGATTAAAATCAGATTTTTAGTAGATTTTGATAAAACTTGATGAAATGTGTTAAATTTTAAGTTGTATTGGCTATTCTTTAGATAAAATAGTTATAAAAGTCAAGGAGTCTTTTGGGGTGTTGTATAGATGAACTAGGAGTCTTTGGGTTCGAGTATGGAACATGGAGAAAGAGTCGTCAGAATTATGCTAGCACGTCGCCAAGCTGATGCTCGAGCGTCCAAACCAGAATCATCGTCGCCCGCTTGTCGCTCGCCTGGTGCTCGAGAGACGGTGTCTTCCGAGAAACCTAAGTTTGCAATTTTCAAGAGTTCTATCTATCTTATACTACCTTAATACCTCTATGCTATAAATATCCAAGTACTTCGTGAAAACGATGGTTGATCGTTATTTTCTACCTTCATAACGTCATTTGGAGACCAACCAACAATTCTACATCCTGAGATCAATTGGGAAAAATATCAAAATCAAAAAATCCAAAACATTCACTTTCTAAATATAATCACGAAGGTACTTTCTTAATAGCTTTCAAAGGTTGCTGAAGATTGAGAGATGTTGGACCACAAGCACATGAAGAGTACAAGAACAAGGTGTTCTTGGTGATCCACGGGAAATTGAAAATTCCAGAAGATCGGAAACAGATGCGAGCGAAGTACGTTCCAGCGGATCTTGGAGATTGCAGGAATTAGATCAGCGAGTCCAGTGAATTCTCAGGCTAGATCATACTATAAGTTGTTATTGTCTACAGTGGAAGTTACTGGCTTGGTCCTGGAGTTTTTAATCCTGTAAATGATTTTCTTTGTCAATAAATCTTGTGCTGTTTACTGCTTTATTTATTATTATGAAAATTCAACATAGGATAAACTTGAATTGATTAACTAAACATCTAGAACAATTAAAAAGTAACTTGTTACTTTTAATGATAATTTTAATTACGCGTTATTCACCTATTCAACCCCATCTAGGTAATTTTAGGGTCGAACTCGTAACTTTCAATTGGTATAAGAGTCCAAATTTGATTCCTGACCTTAGTTTTCTAGTTGAGTAATTCATTATCTGTTCCACCATATTTTGATGGCAGTAACTACGCCCATTGGAAAGTTAGAATGAGAACCTTCCTGAAATTGATGGATGAGAGTATTTGGTTGAGCGTAGTGAATGGTTGGACTGCCCTTCTTGCATTGTTAATGATGTTGTTACCCCCACTCATATAGCTAATTGGTCGAAGACTAATTTAGATGAGTGTAGTTTGAATAGTAAGGCTTTACCTGCTATAGATGTGTTACTAGAAAATTTAGGTGTGTGTCTATATGTGAAGTTGCTAAAGAGGTTTAGGATATTTTACAGACCACATATGAGGGAACTCATGTTGTTAAGAACTCTAAGTTACAGATGTTGACTAATAAGTTTGAAGAGATTAGGATGAAGGATGATGAGATCTTCGACGACTTCTATGCGAGCTTGATAGATATAGTTAATTCTAACTTCAACCTAGGTGAGAGAATTCTTGAGCCTAAGATTGTCGAAAAATCCTTAAATCCTTACCTGAGAGATTTATGCCGAAAATTACGGCTATTGAAGAGAGCAATGATTTAGATACGGTTAAGATTGAAGAATTTAGTTGGATCTCTCCAAACTTACGAACTCACCGTATCTCAACCTAAGAAGAACAAGTCTACAGCCTTGAACACTGTTAGGGAAGAATAGTATGACTGTACTGATATAGAAATTTTAAAAAATGTTTAGAAATAAGAAGCAGCCTCAAGAGAGACATAAAGGAGCTCCCAATGAGTCTAGAAAGAGATCTCAATATGTAAGATGTCATAAGTGTCAAGGTTTTGACCACACTATAGAAATGAGTGCCCTAACAGTAAGAGAAATTAGGGTAAAGCCATGAATACAACTCTCACAGATGATGAATCTAGCTAGGATAATCAAAGTAAGAGATCCACTCATGATGAAAGTGGGAAGTTTATGGCCTTCACTGCTAGGATTATGAGTGAATCTGATAAGGACAATGACAAGGTTGAAGAAGTGGATAGTGGTGAGCAATCTGAGGAAGATTCTGAAGATCAGGAAGAGATTCGTGAGGCTTATCATCAAATATTTGACGAGTCTTAAAATTAAGAAGGTGAATAAAGTCGTGTTTAAGAAGGTTAATGCACTTGAGCTAGAAAGAGAGAGACTTATATATGACATTCAGGAGTCAACCAAAAGCCTTAGCAAGTTAAGATTAGTCAAGGAGAACTTAAAGGCCAAGGTTAAAACCCTAACAAGCGTTCTTGAGAAATCCAATACTCAACTCCGTTCCTTCTTCAAAAGCTGATAAGTCTTTTAAGTTTGAACAAGTCTGCGGGGAACATAGGAGGTCTAGGATATAAGCAAATCGGTCATAATAGGGCTAGTACTTCCAAAAACATTTTTGTCCTGCGCATGACTGTATGTATATAATTATATATGATTATGAATGATTGTGAAAATTAAGTAAATTTCCTTATATGTGAAAAATAAGTTAGGAAGATTCCTTTCAAAATAAGTAAATTACCATACATGTGTGAATATATAATATATATAATTATTACAATTACGTGAGTCTATATAAAAGAGTTGTAAAAGTCAAGGAGTGTTTTGGGGCGTTGTATAGATGAACAAGGAGTCTTTGGGTTCGAGTATGGAACATGAAGAAAGAATCGCCAGAATTATGCTAGCATGTCGCCAAGCTGATGCTCGAGCGTCCAAAACAGAATTATTATTGCCCGCCTGTCGCTTGAGCGACGATAATTTTCGAGAAACCTTAGTTTGCGATTTTCAAGAGTTTTATCCTATATTAACCCAATACCTCCATACTATAATTACCCAAGCCCCACTTCGTCAAAACGGTGGTTAATCATTATTTTCTACCTTCATAACACCCTTTAGAGATCAACCAACAATTCTACAACTTTAGATCAATCAACCACAAGTTCGAAAAAACATCAAAATCAAATAATCTAAAACATTCATTTCTTAAATATAATCGGGAATGTAATTTCTCATTAGCTTTTTAAGGTTACTGAAAATTGAGGGAGGTTGGACTAGAAGCAAATAAAGAATACAAGAACAAGGTATTCTTGGTGATTAACAGAAAATATACAATTCCAAAAGATTGGGAACAGGTGTGAGTAAAGCACGTTCTAGCGAGTCTTAGAGATTACAGGAATTAGATCAGCAAATCCAGTGGGTTCTCTAGGCTGGATCATACTATAAGTTTTTATTGTCTACAGTGGAAGTTACTAGCTTCGTCTTAGAGTTTTTAATCGTGTAAAGGATTTTTTTGTCAACAAATCTTGTGTTATTTGTTACTTTATTTATTATTGTGGCAATTCAATATAGGATAAACTTAATTTGATTGACTAAACATCTAAAATAATTAAAATGTGACTTGTTACTTTTAATTGGTAATTATAATTCCGCGTTATTCACCTATTCAACCCCTTCTTGGTGATTTTAGGGTCCAACTCGTAACTTTCAAAATGAGTAGTTGAAAAGTTGTGGACCTAAAATATGTAGTTGAAATGAATTATTGATTTTGACTTAGATTATTTGCATTAAATCTTCATCTTAGAAAAATTATTCTCAATTGACCAAGAAATTTCTACATCTTGAGCCATATACACAAGAACATGAACAACCTATTAATTCCCTCATGATAAAATTGAGAAGATGTATCTACACCTCAATTATTATGAATTTCATAAACATCTTGAGCACATAAAATCAACAGATTCACACTTTACACACAATACATTATTAGTAAGAGTGAACTTACATAAGATGTTGATTCAGTTGGCTTAGGAGGAACAGTTTCCAGGCCAAGTCGGCTCCAATTCGGGTTTTCCTTGACTGCTTCAGCCAAAAGAATCCTCTCGAACTCAAAATCAAAGTGGAAACGACTTCGAGGAATCTCTCCAACATGTGGAGACAACGTAGGCTAAATAAATTCCAAAACAAAATACATTCAAATTTAGAAAGCAACATAAATTTGCAAATAATTTCAATTTATGACGAAATAAAAAATTATATCGTCATCGTGTGCATATGCAAATTGAAAGTTGGTATTAGATAGATCACGTTCTATAGACTACAAAGCTATGGATTCATAAAATTGTAAGAATAAACAAGTTAATGAATTGTACCGGTGGTGTAATTTTATACTCTGGTTTAACAGCAACCCTGATCCCAATTCCAGCTGCAAATCAAACAAAAATATAAAAAAGCCCACAAATTATATAAAACATACACATCTAAAAAATTTTAGCAACCGGAAGAAAGAGCAGGAGAGACATACAAGTAGTGGGCGGAGCAGGGGCATGTTGGAATTGATGGTTACGACCAGGGACACCAGGGGTGGAGGAGCTGGCACCACCGCCGCCGATCTTGGGATAGAGGGAGGATGGTTTCCCGTACGGCGGATGCGCAGATGATGACGCCGTAGTGGCCGCCGGCCTGCTATAATTCGGGTCGTAAGATTGGCCCGCTCGGGTCCTGAAATCGTACTCCATTAATAGTTGAAATTAATCTAGTTTCTAATGAGTTTTTCGCCGGTTTGTTCCGAAGAATCAGCGGTGCTGGAGTTCCGTAAACTATTGGAAGTCCTCGGTGAAGGAAAGAGAAACTGGCGCGTTACTTAACCGTGTTAATTTAGGCGTCTAGAAATTATTTGTTTTTCAGTTATTGCATGGAAATTTCATTGGAGGTCATTTCACTAAACTTTAATTCGTATCAATCACTCAACTTTAATTAATTCAACTCCAATGGTCTAACTTATCATCTTCATAACACGTTTTTGATTGCACTTCCTGTATCATGTTTTTGTAGGGGAGGGGGGGCGTACACACCACTATTCACCCAAAAGTGTGTTTTCTTCTCTGACCAGTCTAGATCAAAATGGTGTCAACACACATTTGTGATTATTTTAGAAGAACACACAAAAGATCTAATGTTGGAAGCATGAATCAAATCTTACAAACTACATATCAAATCTGGACTGCTAAGGTTTTATGAATTTACCAAATGGCTTATTAGCATAAAACGTCCTTACGTTTGATAGTTAGTGTGCAAAACATCCCAACGTTTCATTTTTTTGCATTTTTGCCCCTATTTCAACGTTTCAGTGTGGAAAACATCCTTTTCACTATTTTTCAGTGTAAAATGACCATTATACCCTCAAATTTAAATAAAACAAATAAAATGAAAAGAAATATAAAAAAGAAATTGTAATTATACTCCCAAACTTTTTAAAAAGTGCAAGTGAGTCCAAAAGTCTTATTAAAAGGTTTAAGCACAAAACGTCCCTACGTTTGACACTTAATGCGGAAAACGTCCCTATATTTCAAACATGTTTATATTTGCTCAATAACACAAAACGTCCCTACGTTTGACACTTATTGCTTAAAACGTCCATACGTTTCTTTTTTTCTTTACATTTTCGTCCTTATTTCAACTTTTCATTGCGGAAAACGTCATTTTCACTTTTTAATAAGATTTTTGAATTCATTTGCACTTTTTGAAAAGTTTGGGAGCACAATTGTAATTTATTTTTATTTTTATTTTCATTTTTTGTTTTATTTAAATATGATGGTATATTGGTCATTTTACATTGAAAAATAGTGAAAATGACGTTTTCCGCAATGAAACGTTGAAATAAGGACGAAAATGTAAAAAAAAATGAAACGTAAGGACGTTTTACGCAATAAGTGTCAAACGTAGGGACGTTTTGTGTTATTGAGCAAATATAAACATGTTTGAAACATAGGGACGTTTTCCGCATTAAGTGTCAAACGTAGGGACGTTTTGTGCTTAACCCTTTTAATAAGGCTTTTGGACTCACTTGCACTTTTTAAAAAGTTTGGGAGTATAATTACAATTTATTTTTTATATTTCTTTTCATTTTATTTGTTTTATTTAAATTTGAGGGTATAATGGTCATTTTACACTGAAAAATAGTGAAAATGATGTTTTCCACACTGAAACGTTGAAATAGGGGCAAAAATGCAAAAAAATGAAACGTTGGGACGTTTTGCACACTAACTATCAAACGTAGGGACGTTTTATGCTAATAAGCCTTTACCAAATCTATGTAAGTTTGCTATTTTGAAATCTTTTGTTTGTAATTCATATCAAACTTTGTTAGAATATACGGATATATGATTTACGATAATATTTTATTATTGCTCGTGAAGAAATTTAAATTAGCAAGTTCTAGAATATTGTATTACTCGTGATTAATAATTTTATACATACCATTATTTTAGATAAAGTTTTATCTTAATACTCCCTAAAATATAATTAACTGTATACAAATCAATATTCTTGAAAAGTACTGTATTAGTCTTGAAAAATAACTTTATACATATCAGTATAATAAAAGTATACAAATTAATATTCTAAAAGGTATAGTGTAGGGATGGCAAAAAAAACCGCCCCGCCCCGCCCCGACGGTGCCCTGCCCCGAATGGGGCGTGTATAGTGTTGTTGTTCCCATAGAAACACAACATAAATATATAATACCATTTAGGATAATGTACATATGTTATAATATGGGGTTATTATCAATAATTAGTATTCGTACTCACTTTGTATATTGACTAGTTTATGGGCTCCAATTTTGTCGATCAACTATAATAGGTAAACACTATTTATTTAAAATTATTTAAATTGGTTGATCGTGTGAAAAATTGACAAAAATGGAAAGATTTGATTAAACTATGATGTCATGTTATGACGTGTTTGATCTTTGTTCCTTAAATATTTTAGATTTGCTACTAAAACGCTTTGAATCACAAAATGGCATTCTAAGAAGCAGTATTTTGTAAAAGCCCATTATGTTGCGCTTGTTACATGGAATGAAATTTGCATTCTCGAGTCCATTAAATTCTTGTACTAAAGGAGAAAGGCAAGAATGATGACATAACATCAATAAAATAATGAGTTTTGCATATCAATAATTTGTTACCCTCACTTAGAGGTGTCAAGATGGACGGGCCGGTCAGACTTGTGAAAATCGGCCCCGATCGACCTGCGACCGCATGTCGACCCGTGACCCGAGTGGGCGATTCACGGGTCAAGGAGGTGTGACCCATGGGTTTCGCGAGTTGCACCTTCACGGGCCGCGGTTAACTTGCTGGCCTGTGAAATTTTTTTTTTTTTT